GGATTTCCCCTTCCTTCCCTAACCCTGGTTTTCCACCCCTCCTCCTTCCTGTTCCTTTCCTTTTACTCTTCCCCATCTTAGACCTGTGAGGCAAAAGATAGTTGTGCTCATGCTCTCTCCCCACTTGGTGAGAATTGGGAGTGGGAAGTTTGAACTCAGGGGACTTAGGAGGAACAAGAGGGAATATTGGACAGCTGTTAGGCTATGGACTAGCCTGGGTGCCTGAGAGAAGTGAGGTGAGGTTATCTCCCTTGATCCCGCCAGGGCTCACCAGCCATGCTGGTTCCCAGGCAGAAATGCCAGGAACAGCATGGTAAATGACCTTCTATTCCTGTCAGAGCTCACATGTCCAGGTTGCTAATGAACTCACTCCCCCTCTCCCACCATCCCATGGCCTTGCTGCCTATGTAATCCTACCTTAAAAGCCAGTAAATGGGAACTTGTCAGCCATAGCTATCATTTCTGAGATGCTTTATTTCTGTGGGATTGATCTGCAGTGGGCAATGGCTCTTTGCACTGTAATTTTAACTCTCTGCCTGCCCAGCCTCTCTGTCAAAGTAGTTAGTGATCTGTAAACAGATGCTAAAAGGCACCAGGGGACTTCATCATTTAAAGGACTCCTGCAGTGAATGCTTTTGTAAAATGAATAATGGCACCCTAATTTATCTACTTTCTAAATTTGGGTCCATGGGGGTGTAAGGGGCATGCCCATGTGCCATCATGAGCAGACAAGTAGAGGGAAGGAAATCTGAGGGTTCCTTCCCCTGCTCTCTTGCCATATATACTCAGGGTACTCTAGCCACATATAATCTCTCCCACTGACTAGCAGAGCATGAGATAACCAGGGAGCTAAGAGAGGCAGCCTTGCTTAAAGACAAGAGTTTAGGTAACCTTCTAGGTGCATCTTGGATCCTGGATGGAAAGGAAGAGCTGCCCTGGGAGCCTTTGTGTCTTTCGGAAATGATGGTCAGATATAACTATAGGTTGTCAGGCCTAACTAAATACCCTGTGGCCCAGGAATTTAGACATTTGTTCTAAACCACTTCTCCATCTCAACCTTGTAGTTCTGAGCCTGAATTGTAAAAAGCCAAGTTAAGTGGCCAGAAGTGTGGGGACCTCAGGTGGCTTTCTTCTCTCCTGGCAGAGGAACAGAAGAGTTTTCTGAGGGCAAGATCCAGGAGTTGATACAGGGAGAGATAGGAGGTGGTGAGAACCAAGGGTGGGCGTGGGGTCTGGCACCCCTCACCCTCCAGCTGTGAGGCCAGAGCTAGGGAATGAAAGGAAGGTGGGAGTGGAAAGGATCAGAGCCAGTTTTGGCATTGTATGAATGCAGAGATTGGGGCCTTGCTGTGTTCCTGCAGAGGTTCTCAGTCACTTCCATCGAATGTGGGAGAGGCTCCCTCTCACAAGATTTTCCCTTCCCACATCACTTCCCTGACCCTTCTCACCCCAGTTAAACCTCTCTCATTTGGGATGTTATATTTGAGAAGATGGTCACTCTGAATAAGTGACAAGACCGAATGACAATGTCTGTTTAATGAAATGTATGTCTTCAAAATATATACAGTAAGTAGAACTTCACGGACAAGGCCTTTTCCACTCAGGCCCTCAGGGAGCATGCTTTAATGAGTAGATAGGCTTGAGAAATCTGTTTGTTGGTTTAAGTTAAATGTCCCCTCCCACAGACACATTTCCACCACTAATTTGCTTAGCACACCCTTTCTTCACAGATAAAGGAAAACTCAAGCCCAGTTTCTGTTCAAATTATGAAAAAAAGTTCCAAATCCACAGGGGTTTGGATTAATGAGGTTTTGCTGTACTGCCGCCCCTGGTTCCTCCATGTAAAGTCCTCCATGGGATTGGGGGTGGGCAGGGAGGGGGGTCCCACAAGGGGGAGGGTGGTCAGGGCAGGGGATGATAAATAGGTGAAGCTAGTGGGATTAGGCTGGGGGGGGAGGGGTGACAAGGGAGCTTGCTGCTTCTGAGTGGTTTCATGGAGTGACTCTGGGGTGAAGGCTTGAAGGAGTCTGGGGGTGAGATTCCCTGATCCCAGAAGATACTGCAGGTGAGAAACAAAACAGAAGGATTGTGGGGATTGTCCTAGGAGGAGGGGGTGGACATGGCTGTGGAGTAGGCTGGCTGTGGGGGAGGCTACTGCTAGGGGCTAGCATCCAGGTCCCCGCGAAGCGTCTCAATAAGTCCGCGCTCCCCTCTTTGGTGTCTTGCAGGAGAGGCAGCTTCCCCCCTTGGGTCCAACAAACCCGCGTGTGACGCTGGCCCCACCTTGGAATGGCCTGGCCCCCCCAGCCCCGCCCCCCCCACCCCGGCTGCAGATCACGGAGAACGGCGAGTTCCGAAACACCGCAGACCACTAGCCCACCCAGCATCACAGACCTTCTTCTCCTTCCCTGTGCACCCCATCCTGGAACAGCACCAATTACCAGGACTGGACACCACTGAGGGACAGCGGGATTGCCTCCCTGAATGCCTCCTCGAGGGACACCAATCCCTCCCACCCCCCACTGCACCATTTCCAGGAGGGAGAGTGGGGACCCTCAGCCGCCCTCTTTTCCTTCCTGTCGGGTGCTGTCCCCTGACCCCCAGGGACCCTTGCCCTAGGATACCACCTACCCCACACAGACCCCTTCACTCTGGGGTGCTATCCCCATCCTCTGCCTCATTGTTCCCCTGAGCACTGGGGGACAGACCCTCACTCCCACCCTGGGGGTGTGGCACCTCCAAACTTTCAACTTCAGGGTGATTTTTTTAGCAGTAACCAGAGCTGACAATCTTAACTCCCCTCCACCGCCCCATTTTGGCCTCCCCTGCCCCCCTTGTTATGGGGAGGGGACCCCAGGTGAGGGGACCCTATTACCCCTTGATTTCTCAGGAGCGTCTGGGGGGGCTCAGCACGCACAAACTCCTTCTCCTACCACTCTTAAATTTACTCCCTCCCCACCCAGAACCCAGATGGGGTGGAGGGGGCCACCGGGGCAGGGAGGGGGCGGCAAGGAGGGAATGGGAGTTGTCTCCCCTTCCTTCCACACCTGATCTGCTCTCGGCTGGTCCCAGAGCGGGGTGAGGGGGCTTATGCCCCCCCCTCCCCCAGTGTGTTGGGTGGGGTGGAATTGAGGTTAGGGTGAGGGGTTAGGGTTTAGGAGGGTGTGTGTGTGTTGAGGACAGTCTAGTTGATCTGCCCTACCATGCACACACACACAGTCCCTCTGCCCCTCCCCTCTCTCTTCTTGGTCTCTACTCCCAGGGGGAGGGGGGAATTTACTCTAGGAAAAGCCATGTCTCTCTCCCCCAGGGTGGGGTGACCTGTGTTAGAGGAGGGGTGTTGGGGGGCCCCTTTCCATGACTCTGTCCCCCCAGGGGGAGGTAGGACAGGGCTGGGCTTCCCTCTCATCCTCCCCCTGCCCCAGTCTCCTTCCACCTCCCTCTTTCCCGCCAGCCTCACAATTTTTCGGTGTTTCTCTGTACATAGCTCTCTGGCGGGATAGGGGAGGTAGGATGGATGGGGTTCAGGGTAGGTAGGCCATGGGGAGGGAGAAGCCCCTCCCTGGCACCCCCTCTTCCCTGACTGCTATCCCCTACTCAGCCTTGCCCCCTCATTCCTTCTTGCGTTTGGTATTGAGACTCTTCCTAGACTCCATCCTTCTTTCTTTTGTATGGACAGTTCCCCTTCAGTCCCTTCCCCCAACACACATACACCCAGCCGGGGCCAAATTTATACTTATATAAAAGTTGTAAATATGTGAAATTTTATCCCTGTGCCCTTTCCTCTGCTTTCCCCACACCTCAGGCCCTGCCTCCGGACCCCCTCCTCCTCTCTTTGGCTGTTGTAATTATCTGGGGTTTGTACTGTACATATCCGGGGTGTGTGTGTGTGTGGGCTGGGGGCGACCCTTCTGTACAGAGCTTCCTGGCCCCCTCATCCCCCCGACCCTCGCTTCCCTTCCCACTCAGCACCTTAAGAGTAGGAAGATGCTCTTCCTACCTATTTTATTTTGTTTTCTCGTTCTCCCTCCCTAGCCCACTCCTGTCTTCTCTGCCCCCCCACCCCACTTCTCCCTTTTCTCCACTCCCAGCCCCATTTCCTTTTTTTCTGGAGTGTGTGGTGAAACAGAAAAAAAATCATGTTTAATAAACGGAGATTGTTCTTTTATTGCTGTGCTGACTTTCTTAGCCTGGGGTCTCCAGACGGACCAGAAGGGTATCAGAGTATTATTTTTTGAGAAGCCGACAGCCTGGGAGCAAAGCCATATGCCCCTGCCTGATGCCACCATCGCTCCTCATGCCGCGAGATTTGTTCTTAGAGCAGGAATCTGCCCGGGCCAAACTAACCCTAACTCTCCCCCGCCCTTCCCCCCAATGCTTCACGTAGCCCCAAGGAAGCTGAGGATGAACACACCAGCATTACCTGACAAAAGAGTCCAAGTCTGTATCTACGAATATGTAAATTGTCTAGAAATAAGATTTTATTGTTGGCAAAAATGGTTCGATGAAAAAAATAAGAGGATAAAGCCTGTGGTTCCTTAGCAAACGTGGGCTCCAGACCACCACTTGCCAGCTTAATCATTACTCTTGGGTCTGTTTTCCTCTCGTGGCAACACCTACCTCCAAGGCCGGTGGGAGGACACGAGGTACCAGGGGCCAGTGCTCAGTCCACACAGTAGGTGCCTAATTAATCTCGGCCCTCTCAACACCGACCGCGACGCTACGCTTAGCCACCAGGAAACGCAGCTTTACGCGACCGCCGACGGATTGCGCTCTCCAGAGCCTCGGCGCCCCATCCTGGGCCGCCACCCAACACTCCTCTGAGACACCACCCTGTGGGTTCTGGGATCTGAGGCTTCCTACTGGCCCCACCCTTTTCGCCACGCAACCAATCAGCACAAGGCTTGTAGCGTGCTGCCCTCCAATTGGCCTCGACCCTCGTCCCGCCCCGCAGGCTCAGCGAGGACGTCCGGTGGGGAGGTGGCGACTTCCGGCCGGGAAGGCGTTGTGGCGGTAGTGGTGCCGCGAGGTCGGCCCCGCGTGTGGAACGGCGGGGGCGTGCCGGCGCCTAAGGCAGCCAGGCTGGGATTCTTGGCCACATTCTTGGGTAAACAGTCCCGGAGCCAGCAGGTGTGTGGTCCGTGAGCCGGGACAGAGCTGCGGGGCAGGAGGCGTCCCGGGCTTCCGAGATCTGGGTCGTTGATGAAGCGCCGACCTCCTCATCTTCACAGGGCCTGCAGGTTAAAACCCAGGTTAGTATTTTGTTGGTTTTCTCTTCGAGAGAGGTCTTGACTGATTTGTAGGAACTGCAGAAAAGTTTCCGCCCTTGAGCTGGGCGTTGGTGGCTCACGCTTGTAATCCTAACCACTCTGGAGGCTGAGATCTGAGGATCGCGGTTCAGAGCCAGCCCGGGCAAGAAAGTCCGTGAGACTCTTGATCTCCAATAAACCACCAGAAAACCGGAAGTGGCGCTGCAGCTCAAAGTGGTAGAGCACTAGCTTTGAGCAAAAGAGCTCAGGGACAGCGCGCTGGCCCAGAGTTCAAGCCCCACGACCGACCAAAAGAAAATAAAGTTTCCACCTTGGGCGGGGTGGTTGTTGTCTGAGGAGACACGTTTCTCCTCATCCGCACAGCCCTCTGTGACTTCCATCCCTATTCCCCACAGCCTTCGTCCTCAGCGGAGTCTCCCTTCAGACTTGCATCTTTTCCCAACACTCCAGAATTCTGCCTTTCCTGGAGGCCATGGATTCTTCGACGCCTTTGCCTCCTGCAGTGTCCTCCCCGATCTGCAACCCAGCCCCACGAACGATCCAGATCGAGTTCCCTCAGCATAGCTCGTCGCTGCTGGAATCTCTGAACCGCCACAGGCTAGAGGGAAAGTTTTGTGATGTGTCTCTCCTGGTGCAGGGGCGGGAACTTCGGGCTCACAAAGCAGTGTTGGCTGCTGCTTCTCCTTACTTCCATGACAAGTTGCTTCTGGGGGATGCGCCACGACTCACACTGCCGAGTGTCATTGAAGCTGATGCTTTCGAGGGGCTACTTCAGCTCATTTATTCTGGGCACCTCCGCCTGCCTCTGGATGCTCTCCCTGCCCATCTTCTTGTAGCCAGTGGCCTTCAGATGTGGCAAGTAGTAGATCAATGCTCAGAGATTCTTAGAGAACTAGAAATTTCAGGGAGTGGAATTTCAGCCCGTGGAGGAGCCTCCTTCCACACAGTTCTTCCCACATCTTCTCCAGGAGGGTGGTGCATTCGCTCCTCCCCTTTCCAGGCCCCAGTACAGTCTTCTGCTTCTACTGAGAGTCCTGCTTCTACCGAGAGCCCCATTGGAGGGGAGGGAAGTGAACTGGGAGAAGTGTTACAGATTCAGGTGGAAGAAGATGAGGAGGAGGAGGAAGAAGAAGAAGAAGAGGAGGACCAAGGATCAGCAACCTCACTGTCTCAGACTTCTCAACCTCAGAGAGTATCAGGGAGTTTTGCCCATGCTCGTGGGACCCACCCGCTGCCCATAACTGCTCCCCACAGGCATCCAGAAGGTGAGAATACACCAGTTGAGTCTACTGCTCCCCCCACCTCACTGTCTCCCAAAATCTTCTACATTAAGCAGGAGCCCTTTGAGCCTAAGGAGGAGATAACAGGAGGTGGAACTCAGGCTGGAGGAATAAAAGAGGAGATCAAAGCATTTCCTGGAGGAGATGCTGAAGGGAATGGGGAGCTAAGATTCTTACTGCCCCCAGGAACAGGTGCAATATCTGGAGGAGGGGGTCCGTCGTGGAAACCAGTGGATCTTCATGGGAATGAAATCCTTTCCGGGGGTGGAGGACCTGGAGGAACAGGGCAGGCTGTGCATGGGCCTGTAAAGCTGGGTGGAGCACCACCAGCAGATGGAAAACGCTTTGGTTGCTTATGTGGGAAGCGGTTTGCAGTAAAACCAAAACGTGACCGGCACATCATGCTGACCTTCAGCCTTCGGCCTTTTGGCTGTGGTATCTGTAACAAGCGCTTCAAGTTAAAGCACCATCTGACAGAGCACATGAAGACCCATGCTGGAGCTCTGCATGCCTGTCCCCATTGTGGCCGTCGATTCCGAGTCCATGCCTGTTACCTTCGTCACCGGGATCTGTGCAAGGGCCAGGGCTGGGCCACTGCCCACTGGACTTACAAGTGACTGCTCAGGCCGTCCACTAATTTCAAGGACAAGTAGCCACTGATGATGATGGATACTTACCCTTCTGCTCTTGGGTATAAACCTCAGCTCAGCAGACTGGGAAGTTTAGATTTCTCACCCAGATTTTGGTAACTCTGTTTAGGGAAGTGGTTTATAGGCTATACTTAAATTGATCACTTGCCCATGATGGACTTTCTTTTTTGCAGTCTTAATGTCCATTGAGAAAATAAGACTTCAGATTAGAAGGTTAGAGAAGAGGTAGAACACAGTGATGACATAATTTTTACTTAGTGTCCATGAAGAGTTAAAGGACCTGGTGTCCAACTAAGGATATATTCAACTTAGAGCTGTGATGACCTAAGACAAAGCTCTAAGTTTTCCCTCATGATTGCTGGAACTGTGAGCATAATCCTTTTTATGTGCTTTTTTTTTTTTTTACTTTTCCAGAAGCCCCTCAGATTATACCATACTTTCCACTAGTAGACACCTTTCCATTACTTGTTTTAATAAGTTGTAGTTGAGCACTTTAACAAATTAAGCATTCCATGTGTCATTCCTAGAACCTTCTTTAATAGAGGATGTTCCCCTCAACAGCTTGTGCCTCTTGTCTACCTTTTACCACCACGGATAACTCATACATTGACCACAGTGATGAATGTGACCAGTGAACTCAGGAGATGGCAGCTGACCCTCATTGTTTTCAGGGTGGCATTACTGCTCTGTGAACAATCTGCCATGGTCAAGAGGGACTCAGGGCTGAGGCCACAGATGCTAAAGATTACAGGATAACTGCACAGTAGAACCACACTGCCTCATTTTCCATCCCACCTACATTTGATAGAGGTAGCTCTTTTATTGAGAGGTGGAGGGATAGATATTAGAATGAGGGTGGAGGGAGATGTTAATTAATTTCTTCAAATAAACTTTGCCCTGAAATCTAAACTGATGGTGGACTGGATTAAATATTTTGTTTGAAAAGATATGCAGAGAATGCAGAGATATACAGAAATAAATTCCTTTTACATTTGGGTTATGTTGATGGTTTCACAGATCTATCAGAGAGCACTGTCCTGACTAGCTAAGATGAATTGCCTCTGGTAAGTTACATTACCTTTCAAAATCAGAACTGTATTACTTGGTTCTATATTACTTTGGCTTGGGCTTGCTGGCCTCATGTTTGTGATCTTCTTATCTCTACCTCCTGAGTACTGGGATTACCATCACAGCCTGGCTTCTGTGTTTACCTTTTTTTTTTTTTTTTTGGTGCCAGTCCTAGAGCTTGAACCTAGGACTTGGGTGCTGTTCCTGAGCTTTGTTGCTTAAAGCTAGTACTCTACCACTTGAGCCACAGTGCCACTTCCAGTTTTCTAAGTGGTTTATTGGAGATAGGAGTCTCATAGACTTTCCTGCCTGAGCTGGCTTCGATCCACAATCCTCAGATCTCAGCCTCGAGTAGCTAGGATTACAACTGTGAACCACTG